CTCCATTCATCTGACTGTCCCTTCCGCCCGTCTCGCCACCATGGGGTACAGAGCTTTCAGTCGCTCTGCTCCCCAGCTCTGGAACTCTCTACCCCCCGTCTTGAGGAACATCAATTCACTCCCACAATTCAAGTCTGCACTTAAAACTCATCTGTTTAAAATTGCCTTCTCCATCTGATATTTCACTGTTGTATTTTAACTTGTTCTTAATGTTTTATTGTTTTTTAATGCCGTGTTGTTATCTTTGTATTCACTGTAAGGTGTCCTTGGGTGACAGAAAGGCGCCTATGAAAATAAAGATAAAATGTATTATAATTATTATTAATGCTCAACAGTCTGATCCCTCTCTTCTGAAATGTTTTGACATGATCTAAGTTTGCGAAAGTAGTTTCTGCTGCTGGGATTTGTAGATGGAGAAAGAAGATCAGCTTCTAGCTAAAGCCACAGCTTGTGTTAAATTTGGCTCAGTAACATCTGTGGTCGGAACATCTCGGAATAACAGAAACATGTGACCCTTATCCCTGGACAGACCCAGGCAGGTAACACATGGTGTTATTGGAGAAGTTACATGCAGAGAAACCTCTTGGTTTGCAAGTCTGTATTGGGAGGAAAGTTATGGGACTGATGATGTGCTGGCTCACAATTATCCGAAACGCTAACAGCTACTAGTGCGCTGCATTGATACTAATGCTATCAGCAAACTGCAGTGGGTCCTGTGCATGTCTGACCATTGGTCTCAGAAGATGGTAGCAACAGCCATTCCAGTGTCTTCATTACATGAAAAGTGAGGGCCACCAGTCTTAAGTCAATCAGTTTTCTGGGGTGGGGCTTCTTCGGAACCGGTATGAGGCATGATGTCTTCTACAGCAGTGGTTCTCAAACGTTTTATACTCTGTACTACCTGAGGAAACATTGAGCTCTCTGAGTAACAAAAACCTGCAGCCACATGGCCCTTTGAGGAACAGTTTGGGCATGCCTGGTGTAGATGGAGGGAGGCTGGTAGTGGAGGTGTTGGGGTGGTTGTTGTGGCAGCAGCAGCAGAGCCTGGGATACTTAATCTGTTGTAAAAATGGGTTGAGCTGGTTGGCTCTCACCACATAACCATCTGCTTTGCTTTCAAAGCAGTCCCTCAGGGCCGCCATTCCCCCGAAAAATTACCTTTGCCCCAAATTATCAGCCTACAATAGGAGGGTTACCCCTAGAATGACAAACTCCTAACAGAGCGACCGTCACACTACTACTTTTGTAGTGGTAATTTCTACACTGTATTAAAAGGAAAAATCAGAGGGCTGTGATCAGACTTCCACTAAACGTGGAAATGTACAATAAAGTTCAGATTTGAACTTTTGAGAAACATGGTTCAAATATTTTCAAATATATTCTGAAAAATGAAAGTGTCCTGGTGTATTGTGAAGTATATTGCAGTGTGACGAGACATGTATTTTATCCCTCTTATGGTATTTTGTGCAAAGTACTGAATGTTCAGGGGCAAAGGCTGACAAAGATTTATTTTATCAGATCCAATGTTTTACAAAACATTTAACAAAATGCGGTATGTGGCACATCGGAACCATTTTACCTTGGAGTCTTTTGTCCTTGTTGATGCAGGAATGATTGGTAGAGTTTTCTCCCAAGTAAATCCAACAACCTGCCTTTGAGTACTGCTTCTCACATCACTTTTAAAAAACATTCTAAGATTGTTTGAGCATTAAAAGTATTGAACTACTCCTTTCAGACAGATGTCTTTCCTGTTGCTTTCAAAAAGGCAATGGTGAGGCCCCTTTTGAAAAAGAGTAACTTAGACCCCAACAATCAGTAATAACTACCTGTATCCAACTTACCTTTTTTAAGCTAAATATAAATATATATTTTTGTCCAACTCAGTCAACTTTTTATTAGGAAAAATATCAGTCTGGTTTTAGAATGAACCATGGCACACAGGAAGCACTGTTAACAATTGTTCACCACATCAGTTGCAATTTGGACACAGAAACTTTCAGTGTTGGTGCTACTGGATGATTCATGGGTTGATGGGTTTTCAGTTCTTACAATTGTAAATCTGACTCCACAGGAGTCAGTGCCTCACCAGCCATGAACCTCACCACATGTCACTGATGTCAACAGTTGATTCAGACTTCTTCATAGTTCTCATAGTTTTAGTAAAATACCTTTTTAGGAGGAGTGGGTCCGCCATACAGAAAGACATTTTCTAAATACAATCACTGGTTAAATGGCTAAGATGGTGAGATGACTGGGTTGGCTGGGTGGATGAATGATTGCATGCATGGATGGATGAGTGTTAGGAGGGAGTGTATGGATGGATAGATGAATGAACGTTTAGGAATTCAAGTTCATGTACATTTTCAGTATGCATACTACAAAAGCGCTTCTGTTGAACTGTTACGTTTCTTTTGAAGAACATGCTTGGAGCACTGTATGTCCACCAGTTGTCTTTTTAAGTTCTGTGAAGCTGTGATTTGTTTAATTTACACTCGAGAGTTTAAAGCACACAAGATTAACTCCACAGACCTACTTCTTTAGGATTTCAAATCTTAGGATCAGAACTCAATCTCCATTCATGGCTTTCGTTTTCACCATGATATTTTGATATCTGAATCTATTTCAGATTCACTGAATTAATAAATGTTTGAGCTGGAACATGGATGGGTACACAGTGAAAACAGATGTAACTGTTAAGCTCACAATGTTACACTGTTTACTTTATACTTGAAGTACAGTACGTCCACCAGTTGTCTGAAGTTGTAAACGTTTGATTCATTTAATTTACACCACAGCGAGTTAAAATCGCTTCATATTGTTAAAATGTTTACTTTTGTGAAGAAGAAAACAGTTTTAAATAAAAAAAAAAGTAATGAAATAGTTACTTTCCATTTCCATTTCCATTTTCCATGCTGTTTAACAAACTCAAATAAAAACATGTGCTATAATGCTGGCTTTTTTTCTTCTTCCTTTTAAATCTTTAAAACCTAACTTCAAGTAAAATATGGAGGAATTTACTTTTGAGAGTGCCAAACAACAACAACAATTCTCATAATGCCCATCTGAAATTTAAAGTACTCAGCAGTTCGTCCTTGTAACTGGTCAGCTCCCGGATTCCGAGACCAGTACTTTGGCAGGGCTATGTTTTATGACAAATGGCTCACCTCCTCTTGAAAAAGGAAGACATGCTTCTGTCTGTCCTTGTCGGTAGCCTGTTACTTGGCAGGGAGCAGCATCCACTCGATAAGTCCAGAACTCTGTCCAGCAAGTAGGGTCAAACCATCACAGGACAGGCCAACATGGACTTGACAACATTTTCTGCCTTTTAGATAGATGGATAGATAGATGGATAGATAGATGGATAGATAGATGGATAGATAGATGGATAGATAGATGGATAGATAGATGGATGGATAGATGGATAGATAGATAGATAGATAGATAGATAGATGATGGATGGATAGATGCATAGATTGATAGATTGATTGATAAATAGATACATAGAGCCTACTATATTTTTCAGCATTGTGGAGGTTTGTTCTTTTCTAATATAAATGAATCACCTTAACGTACCGCCACATTAACACGATGACCATGCTAATTTCGTCTGTTGCAGGATGCACTCTCTGACTCTGACACTGATGGGGTGGCTCTGGGTCTTTGTTCTAAGTTTCCCATTCCTAACACACCCTCCACCTTGGACAAGCAGACTAACTGGACTAAAGCTTTGCCGCTACCTACTCCCGCCGAGAGAATGAAAAGCAACTCTCAAGTCATCATTTCTTCCGTCATCCCCATAAATGTGACAGGTAAACCTCAGCTTTTCTTTGTGATATTAGCAGCATTAGAGATGCACTGAATTGCTCATTGACCATGACCGGCAGGTAAGCACATGCATTACCTGTTTTAAACACATTATATATTGTGCATGTGTTTCGTGTCATAGAAAGGCAGAGGGCGGCACACATTCACAAGCTGGAATTAAATTGTTGTTCACTTGGGTGTACTTTCCAAGACAGGTCTATGCTTTCTATTTGTACTTGTACTACTTGTACTACTTGTACTACTTGTACTATTTTGCACTTTGACCCTTTGCAAAGCCTTATAGTGTACAATAGGTGTTAAAGAAATCAGCTTGAGTAAAAATGGCAGGAGATAAAAGAAGACAGAGAGGATCAGGAAGGGATGGGAGCAGGAGACTGGTGCCGGTCCGTGGGACACAGTGAAAAAAATGTACTTCAGTTTTACTAATTTAAAAAGACATTAAAAAAGAATCCAGTCATATCTCTTTACTTTTTCATTAAAAGATAATCTAGCAATTTCAAAAGCAATTTTAAAAAGTAGGCAACTGGACTCACCTCAAGTAAACTGATCAATTTACTTGAGGTGAGTCCAGTTTTGAGATTATAACGATGACCTGATTGACTAAGAATAGCCACAAATAATCTGGATGTTTCAAAACAATAGGTAATTCAAACTCTGATACTAACAGAATAAAGTCTAAAAGATTATTGATTTTGAAAACATAATTATCCTTCAGTGATGGTGTGGTGTTACCAGTCTGCCGATACCAGCAAATCTGGTCCATTACAGTCCAGCGTGCATTTATTGTACTCTGGACTGTAATGGACCAGATTTTCTATGATCGCGTTTCTGGTAGAGATGTCCGATATTTACCCCGATATCTGATATGCCGATATTGTCCAAATACTTAATTTCTGATTTCTGATTCTGTGTAAAAGGAAGTGACTTTGGTGACGCTGGGTTGAGAGCAATAAAGGAGTTTAGAACGGGTTACTGCAATTGTGTTTCAATAAAAGTTCTTCAGAGCACTGAGGCATCTGACGACGGACATTGTGCTACTTTTAGAGCACACATCATTTGGCGGAACCCAGGAATTGCGATATCAGGTTTTCATTATCGGAAAACACGAAAAAAACGATTCGTACAGATATGACAAAATATGCTGATATCTGGCAAGTCAAAATGTATAATACATTCTTTATAATGTGACTAAAATGTGCACTATAACTTGAGCAAATATGTTTTTGTCTGAATGATACGTACTAGTAAATTTTACATTTTTATGGATGGTTAATATAATATAATTATTTATTTTAATTTAGCATTTTTTCTTAGAGGAACGTTCAACAGCCAAGAAAGAAGAAAGTAAAAATGAATGGAAAAAGTCATAAAATATCACATTAACATTAACATTATGTACAATTAATAGTTGTTTTTAATCATATTAATTTCAAGATTTACCAAAATAGAACTTTTTTTTTTCCTCAATCAAGCAGCCATATTTGTAAAAAAATAAAAAAATAAGAAGAGAGGTAAATCAGTAAAAATGTGCCTCCATGTGATGGAAATCAGAATTTTCAAAATCGGATATTGTATTCGGCCAAAAATTGCAATTGATATATCTCATCACCTGCGCATTATGCTGATTTTGACTGTCCCTGTTCTCTTTCTCTTTTGGTTCATCTTAGGTTTATAGCAAATGTAACATATTAAGTGACACCTCTAATTTTATTCCAAAAGAAATTCTTTATTTCTTGATGAATTGTCCTCCCCAATTTACTCTATCTATACGTTAGTTGCGCTGATGTGGGCTGGCTAATGTATTTTCTTACTTTCATTTTGCACTCCAAGGACATTTTCAGTTCTCAATTGATCGATTAATTATTTTTGATAGTTTAAAAGACTGGCAAACCGTAAGCAATTCCTGACCACAATAACCAAATGTTTCTAGTAATCTAGTAAAACTGTAAAACGCTAACTAGCTAATTTGAGAATATTTCAAAAATGCTTGCTCTCTTCAAACATTTTTTTCTGTTTTCAAGTCCAGCTGCACCTTAGGTAGTTCACGGGGGCTACCAGGTGCCCCCTGTTTTGATTTATTTTAGGCCGAGAAAGTCTGCTCAACAGAAGCGGTGGATACAGAGAAAGATTTATTTTCAGGCATGCACTTTTCTAATTGCAGTTTCCTAGATTCAAGACAATTTAAAGCTCTGCTGAAGATAGATATACTTTATTGATCCCAGGCTAGGAAATTACAGTATTACTATAATCACTATAGAGGTTGAAGAGTTCCGTTAGGCAACTGGACATTAGGCTTCTTCAAGCTGCTCTTGGATGAGAGGTGAAACGTCTTCTTGAGAAAATTTCATGTCCAGTTGCCTCACGGAACGCTTCACCTTGACGTTAAAAATGATAAACGTTTTCACTTAGTTTGTCAATACATACTACTGGTTATCGAATGTATATTTTATTACATTTTCTCTGGTGTATGTTATTTATAATGACACTGCACTGTACATCTGACTAAAGGTACTCAGACGTGGCCTCTCTATTGTTGACAGGGCTGACTTTTGACAGAGATGCTACTCTGCACTGCTCGGTTATCAACTCAAAGCCTATGCTTCAGAGAAGGAGGACGCTGAGGAGGAGGAAAATGGACACTTGTCATTTGCAAGATTTCGGTAGGTTACCACCAACGGCACTGTGTAAAGATACTTGAGGAAAGCTTTTATCGATTTATTCGAATTTAAGCTAATTTTGTAAATTCATTTCGCTGAAAAATATTTTGCTCATTGTCCCAGCCCTACAAAAACAACAACAATAAGAAGAAGAAAAACAATAAAGAGATAGCAGGGAATTAGAAGAGAGCATTTATTATATATATTATTAAATATATAATAATATATTTATAAATATATTTAAAAAAATATATATATTTATAAATATATTTATTAAATATATATATTTATTATATATTTTTTTCATAAATTAAGTCATGTTAACAGTAAATTAGGTCTTAACTTTATGTTTGTGCGTCAAATGTATTATGCATCAGGGATGCACAATAACTTTTTTTTTTAGAACTGATAGCCGAAATCTTTCTGCCTCCAAAGGCTGATACTGATAATCAATAACAACCATGGAGATAAGAAAGAATAATGAGCAATAGTGGACATAAGCTATATCATGACATCAACACTATAAACAAAACCAAAAACAGTTTGGGACTGACTAAAAAATATATTTTTTTTGTTTGTTTTTTTTTTTCAAATTAAAAAACTACTGTATATGCAACTGCTTGGTAGTTGGTATTAAAGGATTTTTACATTTTAAATGTATATCTATTAAACAAAGG